TGCCCTATAATATGCAGGCAGGGCCAGCCAAGTGAATCAGAAGAGTCTGAGAACTTTTATGACCTGAACAAAGGAGATAGTTATTTGATGGGATGGGGGGAAAAATGTCCTGTGCACACCTGAGTTTCTTCTCCTGACCCCGTCTAATTATACCCTGGCTCCCAATAATGACAGATGCAGAAATCCAAAATCTTAAATCTTAGACAGCTTTAAATCAGATTAGCCTCAATCTCTCTAGAGGGTAGGGACTGGTCAGAGAAACTACTTAGTCACCTTATCTTAAGATATGGGGGGGGGGCAATTTCCCCAAACAAGACCAAGACAGGGCCCCAGATACTGGACCATTAAGGCTGATTTTCTAAGGCTGAGACCTCAAATACTACCAGTCTGCACTAGGAAAGTACAGGTCACCTAAGGTCACCCAGCCATCTGGCTAGGCCACTGCCTAATGCCGAGGACAGAAGATTGGTCTTCTTGTGGATTATAACCTAATCAATGAGGAATAAAACACATTCACATATACATACACATGCACACACACACACACATACATACACTTACAAAATCATACAGATACTCAGGCTAACCATGTCATGTATGGACACATTTGTAGTATCACAGAATGTTGGCATTGCAATGAACCAAGCTGATTCCTAGTCTAACTTCACTACTTTAATGATAATGAAACTGAGGCCAGAGAGTGTCAGGGACTTGCCTGAGGTCACACACCTGGTTAAGGATAGAATCAGATATCTGGATATTTGTACAGTGCATTGTCTGCCACACCACAGTGAAAAGAAAAGTACTATTCAAAGACTGAGCACTATGACAGAGACAGAATAAAAGGCATAGAACAAGGAGTACTGGTGGGTGGGGGACAAAGGAAGACTTGATGGAGGAGGCAAAAAGTCCTGAACATATTTCAGAATAATCTGGGAGCCTAAATGTGTCCATTTTAATTCAGATTTCACCAATATTCTGACTAGATTAATGACTCTAAGTGTTGGTGTATGAATTCTCTAATTTATTCCTCACAAGAAATCTATGAAATAGTAGTATCCCTTCTTAACAAGAAGATACTGAAACTCTGAGAGGCCAAGTAGCTTAAGTAATATTACACATACTCTAGGTGATAGAGTCATCCCGAGGTCAATGGAATCCTGAGTCCAGTTCTTTACCCCTGCACCACAGTGCTTCTTACCAAAAGCCAATCTTCGATAAAAGAGTTGACATTACAGGTAAAAACACACTTAAATAAGAGAGCTATGTGTTAGGATCTCACTTACTTCATATGAGACTTCCCTTCTTCAGACTTCCCAAAAACTTCAGATATAAGGGAGGTGTATTAGTTTCCTATTGCTTATATAACAAATTACCACAAACTTAAAACAGAAAAAAAAAATTATCTTACAGTTCTGGCTGGAAGTCAGAGATCTGAAATGAGTCTCTCTACTAAAATCAAAGTGCTGGCAGGGCTATGTCCTTTGGGACTCTAGGGAAGAATCTGTTTCTTTGCCTTTTCAGCATCTATAGGTTGTCCACATTTCATGGCTCATGGTCCCCTTCCATCTTCAAAGTCAATAATGGCCAGTCAAGTCTTTCTCACGTACCATCACTTTACAATGACTCTTTGGCCTTTCTCTTCCACATTTAAGGACTCTGGTGTAATCCAGGATAATCTCCCTATTTCAAAGTCAGTTCATTAGTGACCTTAATTTCATCTGCTACTTTAATTCCCCTTTGCTACATGACCTAACATACTCACTAGTCTTCAAGGTCATTATCTTACCTATCTCACAAGGATTTGGGGGTCAATTTCAACTCAGTGATTGGCAGGAAATTCTTTAGAGAAGTTAAAGTCTGGGATCTGCCTAACTGGGTTCACCCCTTCCATAAGAACATGACCTGGTCTCTCCATTGTTCTGCACATCTCTATCCTGGTTCCTTCTCCTTGAGATCAACCAAAACCCCAGAAATATACATGCCATGAGCAAGGTCATCTCATGAAACTTGTTGTAGGAAACTTCTGGAAATCTTATCCAAGCAGATTTCCTCCTATCACCCCTTTTCTGAGTCTGCCTCAGACTCTCTGAACATATCACTTTAACAGCCTTTTAATAGGATTCCTTTCTCTAGGTTGCCTGGAATGTCTCACTCAACCTCCTTGCTTGAATAATCTACACTGTCTAGAAGTACACAGCACAGACATCTCTTCCCCCAGAAGGCATCCCTGATCGTCTACCTTTTGCACCCAAGACTGACATAGATGCCTTCTTCTAGGGAGCTTGGTAGGGGGTTACATCTGCCTTTTTGCCCATTTTCTCAATCAAACTGTGAGTCCCTTGAAAGCAAGGTCATGAATGACTGAAAGAATGAATGAATAAAATCACTAATGGAGAATTTCTTGCCTCCTAGGATGCGGGAGAAGTGTTTTTTCTTTTAGACAGCATTGACAGAAAAGATGAAGGAGATTATGAGAGGAAGGAGAAATGGAAGCAAGAGAAAGAAAAAGACAAGAAGGATAAAGAAAAGGAGGAGGAGAGATTCTCTATCTTATACCTAATCATCTAATTCTCAGATTCCCCAAACTACCTTGTTCCTTCAGATAAACCCACTGAATATTCCATATCCTTTCGCTTCACCTCATACAGACCCCACTTCCACTCTCAGCTTCCAAAAGATCATCTCTCACAGGCACATCAGCAAGACTTTCCTGGATCAACTTCTGACCCCTCTCCACTCAAATGTCTGTCTCTTAGGAAGAAGCTCCACTGTAGTGTTATATTAGTCCTCTGTTCACCAGTTATAAAAGGTCAAAAATGTTACCTGATCTCCCTTGGGTCACGTTTTTAAATCATTTTAGTGATAAAACAGCCAAAACTATGCAAACATTTGGAGACATTTCTGACTTTAGACAAATACTTTTCTGAGGCAATGATCTAAAACCTAATTCTTCAAGTTAAGGAGGCTATCATTGTCTTTAAAGTCCCTGAAACTTGGTCAACTTAGCAAACAAGCACAATGCCAACACTTCATGGACTTAGAGTTTCTTTCAGCATGAATCTTTTCTCATTTTCAATTCAATAAGACCCTCCTCTACTCCCAGTATTTTTCCACATTCATTTTCTCCATTCCTTCATTAATGCACATATCTCATCAGTAAACATTTGTTTTCCATTATCTTCCACAGATAATGGTGGTGTAGTGGTCAAGACATTTGGATGCTAACCAAAATGTCAGTGGTTTGAGCCCACCAGCTGATCCATGGAAGAAAGATGATGCAGTCTGCTTCCATAAAGATTTACAGCCTTGGAAACCCTATGAGGGTCGCCATGAGTCAGAATTGACTAGATGGCAGTGAGCTTAGTTTGAGATGAGTATTTTCCACTTACTACGTTTATGGCATGGCCACAACCCACCTACCCTCTAGGAACTTAAAGCCCAGGACAGCAATAATATGTTGTAAATAAATAACTGGAATTCCTAATAGCAATAGCAAATGTCATATAAATAGCACAAACAATAGATATTATGGCAGTTCATAAAGAGGTGTATTCATTTCCAGTTTAGAGTAATCAGGAAAGGGTCTTGAAAGGTGGTCAGCTTGAGTGGACTCTTCAAGAATTGCTTAGGACTTCAATATGTAGAGAGAGGAAAGGCATACCAAGTAAAACTGACAGGCAAACAAAGACTCGGAGGTAAAGAAAACTGGGTGTGTTGGCTTTTAAACTTTCCTTTTCATCCTCTGCTTTTATTGACCTGAGTTCTAAGAAAAGATTTTCCAAAAGGCAAGGAGAGAGACTAAACGTGTTCCACCCTGTCTTCTTGGACACTATGAAGATTCTATGAGTAACTCCACATTTAGGAGGGTGTCATGAATCAAGATTTAGTTGATGGTCTACCTTCTCCCTCTTCTTCCTTCCTTTCCACTCCACTCAACTAAAGAGCAACAGATTACCTCAATTTCCCTCAAGACCAGTGCAGAAAGCTATAGGCCCTCCTCTCTCCAGGAGGCTGTATGCCCTTTGTTTGCTTAGAAACACAGGACAAATCATCGTCCTTGGGTCTGGAAGTGGAACTTTCCAGGCTAAATCAAAGCATAGCTAAAGGGAAAGGTCTGAAACAGGCCATACATGCTCTTGGCCCAGACAGACTCCAAACTTTAGGGAGTAAATTTTCCCATTGGGGATGACAAGATGAGCAAGGTGGATCTTATCTCTCACCATATTCTGAACCAGTTTGGGCAGACAAGAAACCCCACTCTGGTTTAACAGACTGAGATAACGTTTTATGAACATTCTTTCCCTGCTACCTCTGATGACAGAGATCTGAGAGGAGCTCCTCCCAGTTGAGGTCTGGAGAGAACCCAGAGGCCAAAATGGAGACTGATTAACAGGCATCCCAAGCAGTGAGTCAAATCATCAGCAATTTCACAGGAAGCTCGTTATGGTCACTCCACAATTAGGACCTCAGTCCACGTGGTCACTCAGTCCTGCAGGAGGATAGACCAAGCACTATATAAAAGTCCCCACATCACTGAGCTTCACAATCTGCATCCTTTGCTGGAATCTTGTTGAAGATCAGGTAAGTGGAGCATCTGTGCCCTCTCTCTCCCTGGCTGATCTATCTTTTGAAGACTTCTGTTCTGGCTCTTCCCTGGATTCTACTTTCTACTTATTTTTGAGGTGGTTTGCCATTTCTTCAACCTCTCAAGCCATCCCATCTAGTCTATCTAGTCTCTTGTCCCTGTTTTTTTTTTTTTTTTTCAAAATAATTAGGCAATAAGAAGGAAAAGAACTGTGATAGGCCTGGGGTTTGAAGAAAAGGATATCCAGACAAAAGCTATGAGAATAATTCCCACTCAGGGGATGGGTGTCAGAAGGAGCTGAGGTAGGGAGAGAAAATTCTCCACTCTCTACCCTTCATCTCCCAAACTCCAACTTGATATTTTTAATCCAATAATTTCAAATCTTGTGCTTGTTTCAGGTTCTGAAAATCATCTGAAGATGTCCTTTAGTGAGCAACAGTGCACACAGCCATGTGTGCCCCCTCCATGTCTTCAAAATATTCAAGAGAAGTGTCAGACAAAGGCTGAGGAGGTATGCCTCCCCCTAATCCAAGAACCCTGTCAAGAGAAATGCCCAGCTCAAGCTCAGGACGTGTGTCTTCCTCAGTGCCAGGAGTTAAACCAGGAAAACTGCCCACAGCAAAGCCAAGATCCATGCCTACCTCCATGCCAAGACCAATGCCCACCTCAGTGTGTGGAGACATGCCAGGAGTTATCCCAGACAAAATGTGTAGAAGTTTTCCCACAGAAAGCCCAAGAGAAGTGCTAACTCCCCGGCAAGGGAAAGCAGCTGCACATTGGGCCATCTATGGTCAAGAAGATGGCCAACAGATGAAAACCTGAAAACCCAATTCCAGCTCATGTTAAGGTGATGTTCTCCTGTAATTACTTCTGTGTGCAATGTAGCTTCTTGTATCTTGGCTTCCTCAGTATTCCAGAACTTATGTACTTCTTGGAAGACATTTCTCTCTGCATTTCATCAATCTCTGTGAATAAGTATTGCTCTCAGCAGTCTGGTAGAAGGTCTCAAATGTAGGAATGGTGTGGTTACCAGAGGAGACCACAGAAGCCTAGCACAGCTCCCTTGGGTCAAAAACTCACCCAGCTCTGGGTGTGCAGCAGCCAAGGATGCCTTCATTCATCTTCCATTGTCAGAACCAAAACCAATTGAATTTCTGTGGACTTTGCAGTTATCACCATTATCACCACCACCACCACCACGGGTATTGAGAAGAAGTGGTTGGTGCAAAAGTTTAAAAAAAAAAAGCATAATTATATCTCTGCATCCTAAAATGAACAGTGAATAATTGGACATTGAAATATTGGTTGTGATTTTTAAAATGAAACAAAAGTATGTAAATTACTGAATCCATACAGCCATTAAGGAAAGACAAAGTAGGACCCCATGGGTGCTTGTTGATTTGGGCCCTTGCACACTTTTGCTTTGGGCCCTTGCACACTTTTTCACTTTGTACACCATTCAAAGATGTGACTATGTGTCTGTATGATTTAGGCTGGTCTGCTTTCCAGCTTCCTTGCCTTCTTGTCCCTGGTGAAGGTAAAATACATAATAAACCCAATCTAAAGATTGATATATGACTTGATGTGTGTTCTTTCCTCTCCACCACACAACCACTTGCTATTCTTATGATGATTGTGTTATTTTATTTTTTACAGTCTAGAGTAGGAATAAAAAGCAGATCTCACAGGTTTCTAGAACAGCAGTGCTGAAAGATATTTCATTAAGGATCATCTGGACCATCCCATCCAAACTACAATATATCAAATCCTCACCTATGCACACACATTACAGTGAAAAACTCAGCAAAGGGATAAGACTTGCCAACATTCAAGACTTTGGGTCCAGGATTTTTTCACTACAGCATCTTTCCAAGGGAAAAGGCTGAAATTAGGAGAAAATTGTATGAAAGAAGGGGTCTCAAACTCATCCATGTCACCTTCAAAGCACAGCATCCCTATCAGAGGGAAGAAATAAGCCTGAGATTAACACAAACTTGAGAGTCAAAATTTCAGGATAACCTCCCTGCACCCTATTTCCCCTACAGCTGTATAAGAAACACAAGGGTGTGGGCTCTGGGGTTTTGTGAAGAAAGCACTTCCTCAGAAGTGCTCTGATGTTAGACCAGGGCCCAGAGGCAGTTATTTAAAGGATAATATTCCTGAGGGGTGAGGAAACTCTTTCATTCCCCTTGGTCCCCTACCTACCCATTGTGTATGGTTGTGCCCTGGTTGAAGACCAGAACTGCTCCTCCCCAAAGGCCATGTGGAACTTGATGCCTCCACTGTTTGGCTGAGTTGAAGCCCTTTGGCACTATGATCACTCCTTTCTCTCCATATTAGAGGTTTCCTAAGGCTAGAGAGAACTGGGGGATGCTTTGAGAGGAGAGTTCAAGAGACAACACAGTGCCATCATGCATTCCTTGAGTCCTTAGATGTCACACTGAGAACCTATATGTGCCTGACCCTAAGCTCCAGGCACATTCTTGAATGTAGTCCTGAAAGCAACCTCAGGAGTTTCACAAATTGCCCTTCATCGGATAAGAAAAACTTAAGCAACTTGTATGGCTTCACAATGCTACTAAGTGATGAAGTCAGGATTTTAACCCAAGAGCTGCTGATTCCAGAACCAAGCTCTTAGTTGCATGAAGTAAGGACCTGTGGCACCCAGGAAAAATTCTGGAAGCTGTCTTCTTCCCTTTCATTCATTCACCCACCTAACAAATGCTCGTTAAACTACCAAGTACCAGGCACCATGCCAAGTGTTGGAGAGACAGTGATGAACCAGGCAAATGCCTCATCCCTGTACAGAAAGCTAGAGTCATCTTCTTTGCAGGCACACACACCAAGGGAGAATTTGCAAAAATTTCCTGGACACTTCAAATCCCTGAACATCTCCTGATGCCTGACTCACCATTCTCTCACCTCCCTTGGCCAGAATAGGTTTTCTCCTCCATTTTGCTAGAGATGAGGCTAGGCTGAAAGGTACTCAAAATACACAGTGACTGCAACAATGAACTCCAGCATACCAACCATGATAAAGATGGTGAGGGACTGGGCAACATTTTGATCTGTTGTGCATGGAGTTACCATGTGTGGTAGTTAAATTTGTGTGTCATCTTGGCTGGGCTGGTTGAGTGGCTGGACAGCTGGATGTAGTATTCCCCATGATGGGACTGGTAATCAACTCCATGGTGAAATCTACTGTGAGCAGTTAAGTAGCTGCCTTAGGGATATGGTCTGCTTCCTGTAGATAAGGAGAAGCCTTGGGAAACGGTCTCTAGATGATGGCACACTTGTTCAGCAGGCTGCCATGCTCTGCCGACCTCGGGACTTTCAATGGACTTGAATTAATGGCCTGCCATGTGGTTTGGTAACATTGGGACTGTGCCTTGTTCCTTGTCAGCCTTGAGCTTGTTGGTCTCAGCAGTCAGCAGCTGTCTGAGTAAAGAAAAACCTCTAGTACCAGTGGACCAGGAGTAGGAGGCAGAGCTGAAGCCCAAGGTTGAGGGGCTTTTACCCAGCCCCTAGAGCCCGGCACTTTGAACTCAGACTTAAAGCCTCCTAACTGTAAGAGAACAAACTCGTGTTCTTTCAAGCCATCTGTGATAGTTAAAGCTGTGTGTCAACTTGGCTGGACTACAATTCTGTGTGGTTTAAGCAATTGTGATGTGGGTTGTTCCAATGATGGGATCAGATGTATATGGTTTGAGCAGCCCAATCCATTGAAAGGAAATTTCCCTAGGGGTGTGACCTGCTTCCAGTATATTTATGGACGTCATGGGAAAAGAGACATTCTTCTTCAGATTGGGTTCTGTTGTACTGCCTACAACTGTCCGTGAGCAAACAATCCACAATTCGGCCTGGAGATCTTGGATTCGTCATTCATTGGAGTCAACAGCCAGTATACTGCCTGCTAACCTTGAGCTCCTCAACCCCTGCAACTGCGGGAGTTGGGAAAAGCTTCCAGCTTGACATTTGATCCAAGAACTTTGGACTTGCCAGCTTCTATAAGTGTCTGAGCCATTTTCCTAAGATAAATTTCTCTTTCTCTCTATATATAAGCTTTACTGGTTTTGTTTCTCTAGGGAACCCAGTCTAACACACCATCCCACTTGTGATATATTCTTGTCAGAGCGGCACTAGGTAACCAGAACACCATGAGTCAGAGTCAGCTCTGTGACAGCAACAACAAAAGAAAATAAAGTACCTGAAGAAGTACAATAGCTTTCTCAAGTATTTCAAGTGCTTTTATAAGGAAGAGATTAGATTTCTGTGAAGCTGCAAAAGACAGAGCTGGGGCCAATAGACGAATATGACAAATTTTCATTCAGTTTAAGTATAACTTTTTATGATCAGTTCTGTTTGATGGCAGCAGAAGCTACCTTTGAACATGTTGGACTCCCAATAACAGGAGGTGTGCAAGCTAAGGGGTGACAAGCAGATGTAAGCCATCAGATTCCTTCCAATCTGTGTAACTCTGAGACTAGTCTCCCTTCCTGGGTAGAATTGGGGCTCTTGAAACAGGAGGTATCTAATAAGGAAGAGATCATTCCAAAGACCTAACCTTGAAGTCAGGAGACAGAGGAAACACCACTGGCTTCTAGAACATTTTTTGGGGAACCCAGTTCCCAGAACCAGCAGAGTATGTGACCACGACTTGAGGCTAAAGGAAAGAAGAAGGGCAGGGAAGCTACGGGAAATGACTCCCTCAGATTTATGATTAAAATATCTTTGGAACACAATGCTATGGGACAGCGAGCTTCTATTAACAGATGGAAAAATTCAGGAACAGTTAATGGTGATGGTTGAACAACACGATGAACATAATTCATGTCCAAAAAAAAAAAAAAAACTTTTCTTGGAATCCACAAATGCTTCTGAGCAGCACCTGACAGTAATTCCTCCTTGCCTTCCAGAATCATCTCCCCCTTATCCCTGGTTTCTTTGCCATCTGGACTTCTTTTCTTGGTCCACTTATCCCATGTGCATGCACACTTGACAGCATGTTATAGCCTCCTTTCTGCCTCCACCTGCCTCTCTCCCCTTCAGGAAGCTCCCTCAACTTGTCTCTGCCCTTCACAGGTTTCAAACTCATCTCCTCCAGAAAAACTTACAAGATGTCAAACCTATTTCTTAAATATTCAGAAAGGCCCCACAGCATTTCAGCTTGGACTCTATCTGCCTGTACTGGTCCAGAGGTGTCCATGGTCCCCTTATAGTTCTTTGTGTGTGAATGACACAGAGTGAGAACCCCTGATGAGCTGTCATCTTTACCTGACTACAGGGCCAACCACAATAAGGTCTGAGATAATCTTACCATCGGCTACCCAATATGTCACCTGAGGTAGGAACAAAGGAGTTTTGCTGGTCTCTGGAGTCACCTGGAAGGCCTCTTTTGTTGATAAAGTGACCAACCATCCCAGTTTTCCCAGGACTGAGTGGTCCTAGGACTCAAAACTTTGTTTTAAAATTAGAATAGTCCCAGGCAAACCAGTGTGAATTGGTCAGCCTGAGTACCTACAAGACATGATGCTTGGTGCTGTGGTAACACAGAGGGAAAACAGATAAGAGTCTCCATGCTGGAGGAATTTATACCTTAAGGTTGGAATACAGGAATGTTACAGAAAAGTGACAGTCCAGAGATTTAGTGCCTCCTGCCTGTCCACCTCCATGGCTCCATTTTGTGTGTGTGTTGGGTGGGGGATATTAGGTCAAAAAGCAAGTCCCCAGGCTTTTCCATCTAATATC